CTAATGGGTCAACTCCTTAAAATATATAATAATTAAATAATAAAATAATTATTAGTTGACTCCGGCGTTGACCGTTGACTTCCGGCGTTGACCGTTGATTTACGGCGTTGACAATTGTTGACTTCTGTCGTTGACTGTTGACTTCCGACGTTGACATGTTGCCCTTAGTATGCAATATGTATGAAGTAAATATGCATCAGTACCATGCATTTAATATGAACTAAATATGCATGGGATATGAATTGCACGTGCAGTCCTTATGAACTAAATATGCACCAATAATATCTACTAAATATGCATTTGTTAACTAAATATGCATTTGTTATGAACTAAATATGCATCATGAATGAACTAAATATGCAGCGAAAAATATGCAATAAAATGTACATTTTATAAAGGTAATTTATGATGCATATATAGTTAATTTATTATGAATATTTAGGTAATTTATGATGCATATTTAGTTAATACGAAATACATACTTGTTATATTTAAATTAAATATATAATGATGTTTATATAGTTAATTTATGATGCATATTTAGTTAATTCATGATACATATTTAGTTCTTACGAAATGCATATTTAGTTCATGAACAGTGCATATCTATTTTATTTGAGATCCAATCATACCAATTTATTTGTGTTATTAATCAATTTAAAATTAAAATTAATTATATAATAAAAATTATTAATTATTATATTATTAATTATTATATTTAATTTAATTGTATAAAATGTATATTTTATTGCATATTTTCGTTGCATATTTAGTTCATTCTTGATGCATATTTAGGTAGTAAAATGTGCATATTTAGTACATAAACAGTGCATACATAGTTGATATTATTTGTGCATATTTAGTTCATAAGGATAACATATATAATTCATTTCTTATGCATATTTAGTTCATACTAAGTGCATAGTATTGTATGCATATTTACTTCATACACAATGCATACTAAGGGTCATCGGTCAATGTTGTAAGTCAACGCCGGAAGTCAACGGTCAACGCCAAAGTCAATGATCAATTGTCAAAATAATATTTAAATAATAAAAATAAAGAATTAAGTAATAAAAATAAAGAATAAATATTTAATTGAAGAGTTAAATTTTGGCCACACATAAGGTATCAATCTAGTGGCTAGGAATGAGTCTCACATTCACACTTTAAATATGTGGACTCATTGGATCCAATATATATATATATATATA